TATATTTTAAACAAATGTTTAGAAACAAAAGAGAAGCAAGGTTTAATTTTCATTGAACTGGCCCGAATCGAACCGATTCAGGATTTCCTGATTCGTTTCGGGCTCTGACTCATATTCCTCTATTTTCGTCTACAATCACTTATTTTTCCCTTCTCAAATTTGAACAATGGTGTCAACGTTATTAAGATTATTTACTTGAATGATAACAACAAATTCGAATGTGATTTAAAGGCTTCCTCCCCCCTCAGAAATTATCTCCGACATCGTACATCCGATCTTGCCGAAACTTTCAATAAATGTTCGGCTTAATGAGTTACGGGAATGAAAAAAACTTTTTGCCTCCAAGTCTTATCGTTCAGGAGATTTTCAGATCCAAAAAGGACCCTGAAGTACTTCACAAGATTTTTTAATATACTTCAAGCTGGAGTTCGGGTTTGTTTTGTTTTAAGCTAGACATCTAATTACATGGTCTGACCGACACCGATTTTTTAATTAAGCCTTTACTGGTTTTCCAGGCAACCAACAACCTTCAAACCCGAAAACTCCTTCCGGATTTTCTAAAAATCCTCAATTTGATAAAAAATTGAGACTTAATTCAAAACTCGGCGTCGGTCAGACCATGTAGTTTCTTTTCCTCTAGTAAACAAAAAAAGAATGAGCTCTCTACGACAAACTGCTACTAAAAATCTTGGGAAAAATACTTCAGGTGTAACTCTTACGTAGTGAAAACGCTGTATAAAATACTCAATTTTAGGACTTGTCGGAAAACGCCTGTAACTTTTTGATGCAAGGTCATACAGAGTTGTGCGAGATCTTATTTTAATCAGAAACGTTTGCTCTACAAGTCCGTATGTCCAGAAAAATTTTAATCGCATAGGTATCCACGAAAAAACTATTGTTTGAAGACCCAATTTTCCGAGGCTCCTAGAAAACTTGCTAAAAATCTCCGAAAACTCAATTCTGTAACCAGAAGCAATACAGATTCTGTAAGTAGCCACTTCAGGCTACCTTTCCATATGCTTATCTCAAAACCGATGTTTTTACAGAAAATCACAACTTCTGAGGGGGCGGTCCTTAACTAAAAAAATAGCAATGATTATATAAACAACTTCAACGCTATCTTTTACAATAAAGAATAGAAGAATAAATGATTTTAGATAACTCAATTTTATGCATTTTTCATCAAAATATTTCTATCATTTTACTTTTATACATAGATGCGTTTTTACTGAAGTATTTTCCAATTTGGAGACGATTTGTACGTAGAATTTATCATTTGTAGAAAGACTCCGTTCAGCGATACATTTTTTTTCTTCTCTACAATCGGATACTTGAAAATGTCAACAATGGATTATCGTGACACACAATTGAGATCAAATATTAACTCTAATTATTTTTGTTCATAATTAAAGCAATTATTTCTTTTCTTAAAAATATATCATCACATTGATAATAATAATTATTTTTCTTTTTAACAATATTGTGAATAACACTTTTAACTATTTCTTCAATTATTTGATCTGAAAATATAAAATATGTTTTACCAGTAATAGTATCAATTAAATTTATAAATATTGAATCAGCTTGTCTATTTTGTTTTACTACATCTAATGAATCTAATATAATTAATTTATTTTTTTGTAAAAATTCTTCAACATTAATAATTTCTAATTGAGAAATAGCTGTTTTTTTATTATGAATAATTTCTAATTTTGTTATCGTATCTTCATCAATAACTTTATAAATATTATTAATAATTGATTTTTCTTTAAACATTTGATTAACAAATTCATCATTAATATTAATTATTGTACTTAACCAATTAAGAATTGATAAATCATATTTTGTTGTATTATGACTTTTACATCGAATTGTATTTGACATAATTGCTAAATATATTAGATTTGCTGTTAATGTTGTTGGTATTTGATTAATATTACGATATAATAGTCCAATAAGTGTTGCTGCTGATCCTGTTTGTTCAATCCAAGTGAGTGCATTTTTAAATTTAGTTATATTATAAAATTGTCGATGATCAAT